TGGATGGATGGATGGATGGATGGGTGGATGGATGGATGGATGGATGGGTGGTCGGTCGGTCTCTTAATTTTTCAGGCACTCAAAAATATAAATTATTTGGGGACTCTTAACTGACTTAAAACAGGACAGATTTATTCTGATTTCATGTCAGACAAAAACAAAGCCTCTGACTTTAGCTGTAATCTGTTCTCACAGTTTGAGTATAAACTGTGTAGTAGCTATAGTTCGCTCTGCTCTACAACCAAGAAACCATGCTGGAAGTGTTTCACGTCTCCTAATCCGAGCACGTAGTCAGAAACCTTGTAACAGAGTACAGACAACTGTTTCTGGTCCCACATGGCGTGTGCTGTGCTATTATTCTAAGCACAGCATGAAAATTCAAGCTTGCTGGAAGGAAACACAAGACGGCTCATTAAAAATACAAATATCTGACTGCCCATATTATCTATGGTCCATTTAGTCCAAATGGAACGAAAAAACCGCCTCTAGTACACACACATCAAGGCTGAACGCTCTGTCAGTCGTTTGAAAACATTCGTTGTGATTTTCCAGCAGGAACACACTCACACTTTACTTTACAAATTGTATGAATAATTTGTAATCTCCTATGAGGCTGTTTTAAAAACCAGGCTAGAACCTGTAGCTTTCTAAATGCATTGTTTACTTCACTGTTGACAGGAGAAAATGGGAAGTCTTTTTCTGTATAATGTTGGCAGGACATTTCTCTCCATCAGCATCTTTCATAGGTGCTGAAGCCTGGTGGCTGGTAGCTCAGCAACAGGACTTTTCTCAGTCTTGAGCCGTACTGCTATCAGTATAACTGCCTCATTCATTAATAATACACAGCTTATGAGCAGCCACACAGGCCCATGACTCTGTCTTGTATTTATAGGCTCTTTTTCCCCACTTCAGATTATTCACAATTTTATGTGCCACTAAAACTTCTAAGGCTACGCCTCTTCTGCATTTAATTTTTTTCCCTTGTGTTTGTTTATTAACCAAACTATATATATGTATATAAATATATATAAATACTATATATTTATCTTTTTTCCTGTGTTTATATCTCAACATGAATGACATTCTTTGATTTTTTTATGACAGCAGTAATATAAAAAAGGCACATGCATGCCTGGTTATTACGTTGCAATGATTTAGTAGACGCCTTTATCTAAAACAGTTTATTGTGAAGAGGAGAAAGTCGATATTGCTGTGAGCTAGTTTGCAGAAGGTTTAAAAATAAATAAATAAATAAAAACGTTCTGAATATATTTTAGGAGTGATCATAAAGAACGAGTGCCACACAGCCAAGCTGGGAAATATTCATCAAACCTTACCATGCACTGTTAAAACTCCATCACTCTCTTTTAGACCGTAGCAGCAACGCAAACCTGCAGATGTCAGTGTTTCTCATTTTGCACACCTCTTTCAGATTAATGGCAGAACATCTGCATTTTCTCATAACTTGTTTCACTGATGTCACTTTAGAATGCATTGATCAGACCTCCACTTCCGTTTTCAAATAATTATTTTAGTATTACTCTTCACCAGTATGACACTTTTAGACAAGTTCTAACTGTCTCACTGATGACATTTAATTTGACTCTGAATACTTTGAGTAAAAGGAGTTCATGGTTGGCAAAAAAAAAAAAGTTTGATGTACTTTAGCAACTAAACAGCCTACATCATCACCTCTCCTCCTCTGTGTTTTGACAGGTGAGACTTTAGTCCATTCCAGGGATCTTATAAATTTTTCTAATGCAATTCTTATGCTTGTTTGTGTGTTTTAGAGAATAGGCTATTTAATAGTAATCCTTTTTTCTTGGTTCATTTTTTTTTACTGTATTATCAAGAAATAAATTAGCTCCTATCCTAAACTAATATCAAGGAGCTGCAGAAAATTCAGGCTGTGTCTGCTCACATTTCCAGCATTTCAGATTAAAATACACTTACACACAAAGAGAACCTCCATCTGTCAGCCCCTGACATCTTCATAGTTCAGGCGTTAGCACGTTGCTGAATGTTTCAGACCAGCAAACTAACTCAACCTGTGTTTGTATAAAGGTGCTGACACTTGCTGATGATCACGGTTTTAAATGCATGTGATTGACTGAGGTCACCTGCTTTTGATCTTCTTATTCATTAAAGACGCATTAAGTGTTTCTTTCTTTCCAATATTCATTTTAGATTCTGTTTTATTTGTAAAGTTTAACCTATACTCGCATAAAAGTCTCATAAAATTATGAACTCTGACTTGTGTCCAACATTATGACAGAGTTAGTGCCATAACGTTATTAACAATCTGGCTGGTCCTCTTTCTGTGCGTTTTCCAAACTGTCAACAGGTAAAATGGGAACACCTGCCCACCCCCACTCTCTCACCTCCAGCCCCCTTCTTATCGTCCCTCCTCTCCTTTCTTTGTCCTCACCTCCCATATCTCATCTCTTTCTCTCTTTTCTATTCCTCTTTTCACCCTTCATTCCCTTGATATCTCCTTCATGCTTTGATTTACAGTGGTTTCCCAGCTGGCTTGTTGCCATAGAAACTAGCCGGGCAGACCTCCTGCTCCTCCAGTGAGCGGTTTCTGCCAAAGAATGACAGAAAAAGACAATTCAGACTTCCTTTTCGTTTGGCCGGTCTTCACTGTCATTTGAGCTGCCGTGCATGATATATATCAACACGAAAGAGCTTTAATCCTCTCAGTTATAAATGTGCTATTTTAGGAAAACTAATTCATCACGTGTGGAGGGATGCACAGCGCTTTCCTCAGATTTTTGTCAGAATTGTAGTTGGTCGTTGCTGCATATTGAGCGTGTGTGTGTGTGTGTGTGTGTGTGTGTGTGTGTGTACAGTTAAATGAGGAGCTAAAGCAGAATCTGAAGAACACCATGGTCAAGAAGTATGGAGAAGAGAAAGAGAATGAACAGATCACCAGAGCTGTAGACAAGCTGCAGCAAGAGGTGAGTGGAAAAATAAATTAATTTCTACAGGGTAGGAGTTGGTCTTGTCATAACCTTTGCTTGAGTTTGTAAACATTTGCTAATCAGGAAATGTAAAGCTCTTTATCTCCTTATTGTGTCAAATGTGACCTGGGCTTTTAAACAAGAGCTGCTCTATAAAAAATGTTTTGCCACTAAAGAGGTTCCAGTGTGAGACCAGATCCAGCTCTGGTTTGGTTTTCCACAGCCAGAGAGCCAGCACTGTGCTACATCATTGCGTCACATTAAACACCTCTTCCAATAAATGATTGATGCTCACCCTGTTGTATTTTGAGTTTCTGCAGAGGATCACTGTACAGAAGCACCATCTGCACCCAGGATGTCCAGTCATGGTCCTCAAGAGCCACTGTCCTGCATGTTTTAGATGTTTCTCTGCTCCAACACCTGATCTGAATCAACGGGCTTCTGCTGAACACGAAGAGCTCATTTGACTGTTGAATCAGGCGTACTAAAGCAGGAAAACCCCCTAAAGCATGCAGGATAGTGGTCCTCGAGGACCAGGACTGAACACCCATGATCTACTCAGATCACAGGGTTTGTGTAAATTTTTCTGCAATGTCATATTCTCACCTGTCTTATTTTATATACACTGTTTTAAACAGCAGTCGGGACTAAGCCTGTTAACGATAACAAATTTTGCTGGGTGATTAATTGTCTCAGAAATTATTGTGATAAACAATAATATTGTTTGAAATTTGACAATAATTAGTAATTATCGTCAGGTTTAACCTGTCTAAATAAAGGTTGAATGAACGAATGAAAAAATTCCAAGAAGAAATGTTTAATTGGTTTTGCATGTAGTACCTTTTTTGACCACTGGATGTCAATATAAAACTGTTTGAACCAAAGGATGGATAGTGAGGGAGCGAGCAGCGTGTCTCTTTAAGAAAAATGGGAGGGAGGCCCCTTGACGTGACATGGGCTGTCTCTTCGGTTCTCAAAATGGCAGATGCTTAGTGTGATTTGAGATCTTTAGCATAGCATTTACACAAAGTTTTTAATAAAAAATCAGTAAACCAAGTTCTCAGCTTCTTTTTGCAGAGAAAAACAAGTTTTTACATGAAGGCACGGGTTTCAACCATGAATTTCGGAGCTTTGACAAGACAGAGGTTTTTTCCTCGAGGTTGGCCTGTTAGCTTAGCTTGTAGCTTAGCTTCTCAGCTTTTAACGATCTAAAAACACAATTTTGGACGGTTAAAACAGATTTTAAAGAGGAAAATAAAAGGGGAGGGGTCACTGAAAAGCACTGGAGTTGAGCCTTTTGTCCTCCAGTGTTTTCAGTAGAAAGAGAGACATGAAGAAACGATAAATGAAAATGAGGTTGATCATTTTAACTTATCATGCGATTAATTGATTTATCACGACAGTGCTAGTCAGGGCTTGTGAACCCTCTTCCGTCAGGCATTTTTGATCTCCGATCATAAACACGGCTGACAGTGGGAATCACACAGTGTTTCAGAAAAGAAACAAACAGTTTTTCACAAGTTGTTCTTCTAGCAGCAATTATGACTTCAGCTGAAAGCAGTGGTTGTGAAGACAGCTCTGTGCGGTGCTCGGACCTGCTGCCTGATGCTACATTTATGAACAGGCTCACACAGAAGCTGCATGGAGAGAAAAGACTCAAAGGGAAACAGGATTTTTAAACATGCCACTCAAAACTTTTTGCTTGGTTGGTGGTCTCCATGAGCCCACCTCCTGCTCCTGACTCTTTGCTCTGGCCCAGCAGAGTTGGCACTGAGTTAACAGCAGTTTTGGGATGTGAGAGTCACATCCTACAGAGTTGGAAACAGACAGAACTGGCGCAGAGTAAGCTCCGGCTCAGGTTTAGCACTGGACCCCATTTCAAGGGAAAAAACCTGAGATTTGTTGACTGCACAGCTTTTTCCCAAGTATTATCCCACCAAATTAGAGATTTTGACATTTGGGCGAGTCAAAACAAATCCAAAACAGCCACTTTACCTCTAACCTGGTGAACTTTTTTTCACAGTTTAGGTTTTTATTTTCCTTTTTTCTGCAATTTGACAGCATCAAAAAATCTGAGCTGCAGATGAGACTGTCATTAGTACATTATTTGTTTTTTTTATTTCTTCTTTAAACATTATTTTATGTACCAAATATTAATATAAATGGCAACTAAGCTTATTTTTCCCAGTTCCTGAAAACATTTCCCCTCTATGAAAAGAAGTTTTCTCAGTTTAGATATTAACCATGAACAAAGTATTTCTGTATCTTGACCGCAGCACCTTGCATCAACCGTTCAGGAGCAGCTTGAGAAACATGTCAAAGGGTAAAGGCATCAACACGTCGTAGTGTAATCAGCCTTGATTCTAACGTAACTGGACATCTGCATGATGCTCCACTGGAACATCAAGCTACAGGGACTTCACCCCGAGATACACACTGCTTACTCTACACCTCAGTGTCAGATATCATGGATACTACCAGAGATCGGGTGCAGATGGTCTTAAACAGAATTTGATGGGTGGTTTTAATTTTGTGCCTAATTGTATTCATTAAGACTGAATCAAGAACTGTCTAGTTATGATTTGATTGTGGAAATGCTAATCCTGATTGTGCCCTGTAGTTCAGTGGTTTCTAACGCCGGTCCTCGAGGAACACCATCCTGCCTCTCTTAGGGTGCATTCACACTAGCCCTATTTAGTCCGCTTTAATCGAACTCTAGCTTGTTTTTCTAGAAAGTCCGGTTCGTTTGGGGAGGTGTGAACGCGCCATCGAAATCTGTCACGGAACAAAAATGCGAACTCTGGCCCGGGCTAAAACCTAGGTCTCGGTCCGGTAGAAGAGAACTCCAGCGCGGTTCAAGTACAGTGTGAATGTAAACAGACCCGGCCCCGCTCTGCAGGACAAACAAACACGCATTTCTCTGACCTTATATGGAGCCGTCAGCTGCCTTGTGTGAAAAACAATATTCTCCACGGTCTTCTGTCTCATCTTCTGCTCTTGCTAAGTCCATTTTTGAAAAATGACAAAATATAACTCCTAAACTGCTAAAACTTGATGCCACTTCGTTTTTATTTTTATTTCCAGAAGAAGAAGAAGAAGTGTCTTCAGAGGTTTTTGTGTCGTTTCTTTCAGTAGTTCCTGGTGTAGCGCCCCCACAGGCGAGCGGGGGAATAGGTTGGTTCAACAGGTTGGTTCAACAATCAACCTTTATTTAGACAGGTAAATCCCATTGAGCCTCGAGGACTCATTTACAAGAGAGACCTGATTTCAACAAAGAAAGATGACAACAATGGACAACAGCAACAACAATAAACAGTTATAAAAAAAAAGCATACTACAGTTTTTTTTTTTTTTTTTTTTTTTTTTTAACAAATAGGATGGCTAAAAGGAAAAGGTAACAAAACAAAACAAAAAAAACCAGCTAGATTCCAAGACAAATGTAGAAAACTAACAACAGGAACATGTCAGCATTGGACCCTGCCAGGTGTCCAACAGATTCTTAAAGACACTTAGAGAGGTCAAGGTCAAGAGCTTCAAATCTTTTTGTAAGATGTTCCAGGAAACAGGAGCGGAATAGGAGAAGGCCCTTTTGCCTAGTTCAGTCCTCACTGAGGGAACACTGCAGGTAATAATGTCCTGAGAGCGCACTCCGTAGCTGCACTCACGCAGAGACATGTAAGAGGAGATGTATGAAGGCAGCAGACCAAGAAGTGATTTAAAGATGAAAATGTACCAGTGAGAGTCTGCGTGAAGTTAATGATGTCCAGTTAACCAATGAATACAGGGTGCAGTGGTGGGTACGATAATCACAGCCAGTTATGAATCTTAGTGCACCATGATAGACAGCATCCAACATCTGCAGGGTTCTTGTAGGAGCGTTCATGTAAATAATATCACCAAAATCAATTGAGGGAAGGAAAGTCACAGATACAAGGCGTTTTCTAGCATTCAGGGTTAGACAGGATTTGTTTCTGAAAAAGAAATCCAGTTTAACTTTCAGTTTCTTTATCAAGTTTTCCACATGGAGCTTAAAAGAGAGATGTGAGTCGACCAAGATACCCAAATATTTATAAGAATCAACAAACTCAATGGGGACACCATTTGAGGATAAAATCGGAGGAAGAACTGCTGGGACCAACTTCCTATTTGAAAAAATCATCCCTTTGGTTTTGTCGGCATTTAGGACAAGTTTGAGGCGAAACAAATCAGTCTGGATGTAGTTGAATGCAGATTTCAAAAGCTGGAAAGCCTTAGCAACAGTTTTAGCTCGACAATAAACAACTTTGTCGTCAGCATAGAAATGTATGAATGCATTAGGGATGTTTTTACCTACATTATGTATGTAGATTGTAAAGAGGGTGGGTCCTAAGACTGAGCCTTGTGGTACACCATTGTTGACTGTTAAATAACTGGAGGAAGTACCATTATGCTGAACACATTGCCTCCGGTCTGAAAGATAGTTAGAGAACCAACAGGTTGACTCGACTGCACAGTGCAGTGTGAATGCAAACGCACCAGCTCAAATGTAAACAAAAGGTCATGAATATTGGTCCCGAACCGAGTCTACCGGACTATCTGGTGTGAAAACAACCTTAGTTGTTTCCTGCTCCAACACACCTGATTACTTCATCAATTTCTGCAGAAGCCTGCTAATCACCCAGTCATTCGAATCAGGTGTGTCAAAGCAGGGAAGCAACTAAAACATGCAGGATGGTGTTCCTCAAGGACCATGGTTGGGACCCCCTCAGTAGCTTAATCTGGACTGAAGAATCAGAACGACACTTTGTGCTATTCCAGGCGTAAATTGCTTGAATATTTACTTCTTTAACAAATCTGCCAAAATAAATCTGAATATAATCTCTGAGCTGAGGTATTCTAATCCAGACTAAAAGTTCATACAGATCAGGATTTACTGATTTACTGATTGCTGATAGAGCAATGTTTTCCCAAAATTTTGTTAAGAAATGGAAGGTTGTAAATTGATCTGTAACTGATTATATTTCCAGGAATTTGTAAGATGGGGTCACATAAACCAGTCTGTGCCATTAAGAAACAAATTATTACAAAGAAGAGTTTAAGGGATTCAATGTGATTAAACACAGAACGGGAGCAGATCAACAAAAAAAAGGTTTTCATCCAAGCAAAGCTTACAATAATTTTTCATATTTGGATATTAATGACTATCTAATCTGAAGATAAAAAGGCAAAAACATCCGTTTCCTTTAACATCAAGTGTTTATTGAGCAAGTTACACTTAATTTGATTTATTCAAGTGTCATACTAATTACCTTAATCCATCATTGTAAAGTTAAACCATCACAAGTCTGCATCTAAAAGTAAAATGTGCTTTTCTTTATAACTCGTCCATCAGTTTAAGTGCTGTGGGAGCCACAACTCATCTGACTGGGCAGAGAGCACGTGGATTCGCTCAGTCTATTCACAAGGCCGGGTCGTCCCTGACAGCTGCTGTAAGACTGAAGTAGAGTTCTGCGGCAGAAGGAACCACCCCTCCAACATCTACAAGGTGGAGGTATGAGCATGATGTGTGCTGAGTGTATATTTCTGTCTTTTCTCAGTATTTCAGTGTAGTTTGCAATGGGAGGGTTGCACAGCTGTTTATTAATAACATTTATTAGCTGTTGGAATCCAGCAACTATCCCACATTCACATGACGACTCTGTTTTTTTCAGGGGGGCTGCATCACTAAACTGGAGAATTTCATCCTGGACCACCTGAAGATTATTGGAGCTGTGGGCATTGGGGTTGCTTGTGTACAGGTGAGCAAAGAACTCATCAACCTAAAAAAAAACCTGAAATAAACAATAACTTTTGTTTTGCTCTCCTCTATCCATTCCCCAGATCTTTGGAATGGTGTTTACGTGCTGCCTTTATCGAAACCTGAAGGCAGAGCCATATTAAAAGAAGCAGAAGAAGAAAAGAGTGTGGGTGAAGGAGTGACCTCATCATGACAAGCTCATACTTGGATGCTTCACAGGTTCTTTCGTTGTCTCGTTCATTGTGGTAGAAAAAAATGATGAGGAATCTAATTGCACATCCAAGGATCTTATTTCAGAAAATAAAGGATGAAAAAAGATTACAAGGTTTTTTTTAAAGTAATTAGGCCCTTGGATTGCAATCTCAGCTACATCTTCAAGATCACAGCGCGACAAGAAAAGGCCTCAACGAGGAGCTGATGGGAGTTTTAACAGTGATTGTTTAAATTAGTGTAGAATAGCCTCTTTGGGACTAAGCATTCTAGTTTTCTCCTGCTCTGGCTCCAACGATGAATAAACCAGTTGGTACTCCAGGGAAAATAGTAAAAATCAGTAAAAAAAAGTGTCACTTCGAAGAAAGTGTTCTTCCTGTTCATACCAGATTTATCTTCTAAGTTTGGAGCAACATTTTAATTTCAGCAAGCCCACAGCAACCATAAAGTTCTACATTTCAAGACTGTTCATTAAAGTGGCCTTTTCAACTTGTTATATTTTGTAAATGATTATTTCCTGTAAAACCTGAGGTGCGTTCTTTTTAAAGGTACTCTTTGTTAAGGATAAAATTAAGCATAAAAAGGTGATTCTGGACTATATCATTTGGTACAGTGGATTATTGAGCATGGACTTTGTTGATCATTTGGTACAGTTTGAAACCGTTTACTTCAGTAGTTTCTGAGATACAATTCTGAAATGCAGGTCTTCACTTAATGTAAACAAAGTACTTGACTTGCCAAAATCCAAGTATGACTGGCTCACATTAAGATGGCTGCATTCAGTGTAGGTAAACAAATATGGTGGAACTGGACAAGCATAGACCAGTGAGTTCAAACATTTCACCCCTTTCAGTTCTTTTTTATTTTTTTATTTAGGTACCCATCAACCATTGAAATCAATAAAGTTCGTATTAATTTATAAACTCTTTTTGTTCAGACTTAATGCTTTGCAATGAGTACTTTAAAGGAATAGTCTGGTCATTTTTGACGTGTTCTGTCAGATAATGGTTAATAGGCTAGGCTAATTGCTAGTCAAACAAAGACTCCTTTATTTTTTAATTACCTAATGTAGCATTTTTTTCACATCAGCTTATCTTTTACGTAAAAGTGTAGTTTTAAGTTAAAAGAAGACTTGTATTTGTCTAGCCATTAGCCTGGCCTTTAAGAAAACCTATGCCTTGTTCTTCATACTTTGTTTACTATGACTGATGCCACAACTATAAAAATACTAACTACTGATAACTATCGGACTGAGCATCACTTCAAAAATGACCAGACTATCACTTTATATAATAGTATTTTCTTTATGTCTTTATTGCCTGAAGTGTCTTGTTCTTTTATTATTTTATATTACAAATGTATCCGAATACAGATTTGATGTGTAAGGGCAGATTTTAATTAAGGGATTCTTATAACTCTGTTATTGATACATGCAGATAATGTCATCGCAAGAAAAACTGACTTTTGTATTTCTATTTTCTTTACTGCCTCTTTTTTAAACACCAATGCCAAAGTTATTGTCATATTTTACCAACTCTACCTCTTCACCTAAACTCTGTCGCATATCTACTGTACTGATCTTTTTTTAGACTGGCTCTTAACTTAATCGTTTGCTCACTGTTTAATAAGTCCTTAACACATTACTGCTAGGAAATGATAGTCACACACTGTTAGCAATGATTCCCTCTAGTTGCGCTGAAATATTCAGCTGTATCTTTTGTTGTTGTGACATTTTACTTTGAATAAACATTGATTCGTCTTTGCTTCGGCTGTGTTTGCTCTCTATAGGATTCACAAGGTAAATACAACGTGCCAAATATTTGAATAAGAGGAAACAAAAGCACAACACAAAAACCTTCAAGTCACAGTTTTCAGCTCACGACAGCCCAAAAATATTGCCAAAATTCAACGTTATCTGTAGCAAGACAGCCTCGTGCCCAGAATCAGTGGCCCTTACACAATTGGCAGCAGCTTACAGGTACATTAGTGTATTAACCAAATGCCAATCCCCTAATGTTACAGCAGCACTGTGCTGTTGTAAAGCCTCCGTGGGATGTGAGCCATATTTCCAACAGCTGCTCTTCTCTTGTATTATGGTCTGTAATGAAAGTTTCTCTGTTGTCAGGTACAAGGTGTCGTTTAAAGTGACCATGACAGTGAACAGCAGCAACCACATGGGGGCAGCACTCACCAGGTTTTCACCACCACAATGTCATGGTGCAGAAATCAGCTGGTTAGTGTGACTGCAAAACACCCTGAGGTTATTTTAAACTCCCCACCTCCTCCCCATGTCTAAACAACAGGTGAGAATGGCAGAAAACGACCACAAATCAAATAGGATGAGAGCAAGAAAAGTATTAGTCACTAGTAGTGAACAATACGTGAAACATTTAAATATTTTAATGTTATCCTTGTCAAATTTCAATAAAATGGGCAGGAGTTTAAATGGGAACATGTCAGCTGGCTGCTTCAGGCTGTTAAAATATATCATCTAAGACTTTAAGAGTACAGCTGTTGTTTTATTGTTACATTTCCTCTCGGTGGAGCAGCCACATGTGGTGAGGCCGAACAGCAGGAATCGGTGGTCATACTACCCTTCAAAGTGCTCTCACTGCACACCTTGTAAAAGCTGAGTCATGCCCGGCAAAAATCAGTGAATCACTCTTACAAAAGCAGGTTCGTTCGGTATTTACAGTTTTTATTGTTTGAACACGTGGCTTTTTTTTTTTTTTTTTTTTTTTACAGAGGCTGATTTCCGAGAAGCAAACGCATTTGTGGAATGCGAGTTGTTTGACCTGCGCTCTTGTCCTTGTTGTCGAGTTTGACCCAAAGTAGATGACAGAAGCGTTCCAAGCAAATGCATCAAGCCCAGAAAAAAATATGACTATAATAAATCTTCCTCAGCCTTGAATGTCTCACAGACGTCCTTACAGTGACAGCCTGCATGCAGGCCTAACACGAGGCGTATGCTAATAATGCCGGTGCGTGACATTTCCAAAATATCTCCTCCAGTCCTCTTTCCAAACAATAGTCCATTCGGTGCACGTCGCCTGCGGCATCTTAGCCCGTTTGGTTGCAGCCAGCAGAGAAACCTGCTGTTTTTGATCCAGAGGGGAAAGGGCTTGGACGCCTCTCACCTTCCACCTTTACCTTGCAGGTGATTTGATTTCTGTGCCTGCAGGAGCAAAGCTGTTCTGGGTTTGGGAACAGGAGGAACATATCCTGTCAGGGTTCAGAAACATAGCTTAATCTACAATCCTGATTCCAAACAAGTCAAGACAGTGTGTAAAATATAAATAAAATTCAATGCATTGCAATTCTCTTAAATTTGTGCTTTTTCTCACAATGACACACAGTACTCATGTCAAATGTTCTTCTTTCAGATTGTCCCTCTTCAGGGGTCTCCACAGCGAGTCATCCTCCTCCATCTTTGTCCTCTGCATCCTCTGTCCTCACTCCATCTACCTCCATGTCTCTAACTGCATCCATGTTTCTCCTCTTTGTCTTTTTCCTGGCAGCTGCATTTCTAACATCCTTCTACCAGTAAACCCACTGTCCATCCTCTGGACATGTCCAAACCATCTCAGTCTGGTCTCTCTAACTTTATCTCCCAGTTGTTCAACCTGTGCTGTACCTCTGATGATCTCATTCCTAATCTTGTTCATCCTTGAAATTGTGCACTTTTTAGGGAGCAAAAAGTCTAATATTGAATTTAATTTGCAGTTCACATCTTTAAAAAGTTGGGACAGGCAAAACAAAAGCTGTAAATGAAGTGTTATCAGTAGGAAACAACTGGAGGAACATTTGGCAACTAATTAGGTTAACTAGTAACAGGTCAGTAAGAAGACTGGGTTTAGAGATTGTTTTAAAGAGGCTGAATCAGAAGTCCAGTCTGCGGTGGAAGTGGTCTCCAGCTATAAGTACTTGGGTGTGCACCCGAATGACGACCTCAGCTGGAGCAACAACACCACCAGCCTGATCAAGAAAGCTCATCAGAGACTCTACTTCCTCAGGCGGCTGAGGCGAGCTGGTCTGGGAAGCTCAGTCCTCACCTCCTTCTACAGATGTGCAGTGGAGAGCATCCTGTGCTCCAGCATCAATGTGTGGCATGGAGGCTGCACAGCTGCAGAAAGAAAAGCTTTGCAGAGAGTGGTGAAGGCTGCACAGAAGTCTGTTGGAGTCAGTCTCCCCACCATCACAGACATCTACACCTCCAGATGCAGGAAGAGGGCCACCTGCATCATGAAGGACCACACTCACCCAGCACACACACTTTTTGCCCTGCTCCCCTCAGGCAGGAGGTTGAGGAGCATTAAGTGTAGAACCACTAGACTGAGGAACAGCTTCTACCCTGAGGCTGTTAGACTCATGAATCTCTAAATAGAATAATCACTGTGAAAAACCATATCATGTCGCTGCTGATCTGTTTCATGTTGCTGCTGATCTGTTTCATGT